ATGAGGATGTGAAAATGATGGCAGTTCCTGTTGATTTCTGCTAGAAAGGGTTTGCTGATAGGCCCGACACTAAAAAGCAGCGCTGGTGACTTATGCCTCATTTTGTTGTGCTGAGTCACCATTGAGCATACCTCCTTTTTAATGGTTTAAATTGCAGAAAAAGTACGAAAAGTGGAAGCTAATTATCCACCAACTTACCGGCAGTCCCCATCTTTTGGTGTAGAGGTATGCAGTTCCATTATTTATTTGCACTGTAGTTCTCAAGTTTTGTCAGATGAAGTCACCTTAAAGTTACATAGTTTCCGTGTGCACTGAGAATCAGTGCACTCATGCCCGTGACTTTCAGTCTCTTTGGCACGCGAGCAAGTTAAAGACAAGCCCGTCGCAGTTTCTTACATAGCCCGTAGCTAACGCCTGATTCGATTGACTGAGCTATCTGCATGTTGTACACGTTGACATAATTCAATTTAAAGCAGACGTTTTTCAGGACTCGATGGTAAGTGATGAGATTGTTGCCGAAAAAACATTCCCCACAAAGATGTGCACGGGCCCCGTCTTCAATTCAACTGCTGAGTTGCATTCAAGGGAGAAAGGGAACCATACAGCATTACCTGATTCGAATCAGTAAGTAGGCAATGACACCTTTTGAAAATTGCTTTTGCCCCATGTAATTTCTTTCCTTCTGTCAGGAATGAAGTATGAGCAACTCTTGCTGCGAGCATTTTTCCTTCCCGTCTTTCTCAGATAAAGAGAGATAAGAAGCCAAGTTGTAGTAGATTTCTTTATTCAAGTCAATTACAAGTTCAATCAGAAGTTATATCACAAGTCAACTAAAAGCCACAAGTTTGTTCATAAAGGGAGTGGACAATGATGACTGTTTTCTTGTCGCAATTCAGTTGCATCTAGGGGTAATATGATTCCACTGCAGACCGGATGACTTGTGATGGACCAGTGGTAGATGTGTTAGAACTTTACTGCAGCGCTGAGGGGAAAAGTAGCTTCAAACTGTTTCCAAATTTGCACACGTGGACCTAATTAATGATTTTGTTTGCTTCAGAGAAGCTCAAGAATGCCATTTTCGATAATGCTGTAACGGCTGAATACATTTATTCATTGTGTGACTTAGGTCCATTATCAAGGTACATGTATCATGGATATTTGGGTTCATGTCTGGTACCTCGCTCAAACAGTGTTTGTAGAATGCAGTCTTAAGTCTGCTTGCTCAGAAATTGATCAGCGTGAGAGACACCAAGCTGCTGCCAACGGCTCTGAGTGCATGATGCCTCAAACAGAAAATGACTAAATATAAACACTGTAAAGATTTTAATTAAACAGAATCATTGAAAACAAAGGGGAAACCATTGGCAGGGCTCGTCGCTGTACGGTGCAGTGCCTGACTGGTACCTCGGGATCGGGTTACCAGCCTCCAGTCTCTCAAGGATTTTCTTTTTATGGCCGTCCTTTCCGTTCCCCTTCGGAGCATTTGAAGTGTCCTCTTCTTGCCGATTGAGTATTGGACATCCACCCACGTAATTTATGTCACCGGAAAAAAAAGAACAAGGGAAAGAATGAGAGATGGAGAGAAACGATTAGAAAAAAACGCAGCCTGCTGTGAAGTGATACGGAAGATTTATTTGGTTTGTGCTTGGGAAAGAATGTTGCACCGCTGTCATCCCACCGGGTACAACTCAGCGTTAAGAATGAGGGAACCAAACCGAAGATATACACAAGTAGGTATTTTTAGAGTGTGAATTAATAACTTTGAGGTTGCCCCAATGTTTGAGTGATGACAAAACCTGCAGGACAATTATAGGTTTATGATTGATTGTGTAACAGAGGCAAGTTCTGTTTTTCAAAGAATTAATGTAAGAGATCTTGCCGATTTATATGTTATATGTATTATCTCTGGTAATGAAATAAAGGTTTTCCTCAGGCATCAGTCATTAATAGGCCAATCCATTAAAGTCCCCCCCCCCCATTGTGGGCCCTGCAAAAAGTGTTCAATGCATTGCCCAGTATCAATCTCAATACCTTCATGGACCCTTTTTTATCCCTCTTGCCAATATCTGTGATTGAACTGCCTGAAACAAAATCAACTACGGTAGCATTTCATTCCAATTAAACCAGTGCCAGAATGTTGTGAATTGACCCTCGGACCGCATTACTGAAAGCAGTCCAGTGATCTGTCCATGCTTATGCAATTGGAAACAGTGGGCTGTTGAACTGTCACAGTTTTTATAAAGAGACCCTCCAGAATACAGGCCAACAGTTGATGCACCCGCAACATTTTGCCCAGCTCTGGGTAAAACTCGTCTGCCTCATGTTGACCATTACAATACAGCATAATAGCAAATTTTATAATTTGGTATTCATCGATACTTCCAGTGGTAAGCGTACATTTGGTTCCTCTTGCACTGGGAAAGTTGGTGTCCTTGCCATGTGAGAAAAATACACTATTTTGTAGACATTAAGCACAGGGTCTATGTGGCATCATTAGACAGAGATACACTAGGGATACTGTGCGGCTTATTGTAACCCAGCTGTACTTTTACATGAATTGATTTGTTTTGTGAAGTTGTAATTTTACTTGTTCATACATAAAAACCTGAAACTTTCATTTATACTGAGACTGATTCTCCTTGGCTCCTCCAAGTCATAGGCTGCTCGGGTCTTAATATTCAACAGCAATTGTCCACTGCTTGAACCCCCGCTGGAATTGCAGCAGGCAAGTTGGGACACTCGACAAGCCGTCATGGTTTCTGAAGCGTTTATTGTCTCCAATATGTGGGCCGCTGGGCAGGATCTCGTATGATTTGCATTTTGTACAGATATTAGGGCATCATGACATCGAGACACAGAGACATCAAGACATCAGGATATCATAACGAGATCGCTAGTGAAGATAATCATTATGGCGTCCTGAGATACCCACCCCGGGACCTTGTTTTTACAACTGCCTGCCTCGTCTTGCGAGTAGAGTCCTCCATCTTGTATTCTAAGGAACTGTAGCTTCAGAGCACAGCGTTAGAATTTTGCTTGAGAAGAAAAAAAGAGAGAGAGAGTGTGAGAAGGTGCGGGGACGATAAAAATCTCAGCTGTGCGTGGGCCTAACGTGGACCGAGTGACGCAGGCACATACTCATGTACGGGACAGACAAAATTTATGCAGCTTGCACGTTGCTAAGGTCTGGCACGAAGTGCCTGGGGCTGAGTGGAGACAAGAGTTGTTTTTCAGGGGCAGGGGGGGAGGGTTGTTGTGTTTAGGCTGGGTGTGGAAAGAGGGAGATTTTGGATGTAGCTCACTATAAGGGAGAAATGCTATCTTTTTTTATTTGGAAGTCCCTTGTTTGTTTTGCGTGCTGGGTTGTTGGGGTGTTTGTTTGTTTGTTTGTTTGTTTGTTTTTGTTGTTTGCTAGAATTTCCTTGGGAATGGTACCTAATATCCCCACATCTTATCCACCAACAATCTGCAATACATGAAATAAGTTATATTTTGACAAGCTGTCTCATCAGAGACCTATTTGTACTTTTTAAAATGTGAAGTCGGGTAACATTCATGAAGTAATGCACCTGGATGGAGTGATGATTAACTTCTGTGAATTTAAAGTGAAACCCTTTGCCCCTTACATCACAGCCACTGTCTGCTTCCAAAATAGAAAGAAGCAAATTATCAGAGTCAATTTTTTTTCCTGTTTGAATGTCCAGAGAGGTCCTTGTCTGACAGAGCTGAGCAATTTCTGCATGTACATGTACGTCCGCAGCTCAAAGACGAGACAGCTGACAGTTATATCACTGCGGCACCTGTCACCTAATGAAATCTCTAGACCATGTCACTCCCCGTTGACTAAATTGCAAGTTGTGGTTGCACGGCAGACAGAGACTTTCACTGAAAAACCAAACTGCCCCACGCCGCTTTGCTTCTCTTCATCTTGAAGTACGGGCTGGTTGACAGTTGTTGATGGCAGATCGTATGGTATGGAGGAAAAAAAACAAACAAAGAAACAAAGGAACGTGGTGTGGTTGGCTATTTTGACTAGCAGGATGTCGCAGTTGATAGGCTATAAATTCCAAAATGTTGGCACCGGCATTGTCCAGAACTTCACTAGAGCTTCATTTGTCATTGCTCATGCTGTCTTAAGAACTTTCATTGCTGTGAGTGAACGATGACAAGCAAATGCCTTTACTAATATGGGCGATTCACAATAGTGTGCCTCCAAGAGTTTGCAATGCGTTGGCCAATCACAACGCGCAAAATTTGTCGACCGTTTCTAAACGTGCATTAGGTCATCAAATTTCGCGCATTGTGATTGGCCAATGCGTTGCAAACTCTTGGAGGCGCACTATTGTGAAACGCCCTCATTGTATTACATTCCATATTGATAGATCTCTCTCCTTCTACTTGGCAGTCATGATAGTCATGTGTTTTGCCTACCAGCGGCTAGTAGACTGTGACTGGCCATCCATACAAACATAAAAGAATCACCCATGATGTTCGGGAAAAAAAAACAGCTATCGAAACACTGAATAATAAACACAGGCACGCAACTTTTCCTCAGATCAACTGATTTCCTCGTTTTTCATTTTGCAAACTTGCCGTCGAAACTTGAGAAACATTGTACAAAGTCTTGTAAAGATTGGAATTTCATTGTTTTTTGTCAAAGTCTAAATTGTATGCCTGTAAACACTGCTACTAACTAAATGAAAGTGTGGCCCTTTTTGGGGCAAAACCTGACATCATCGAAGGGTGACGTTTCTGCAAACTTTGGCAGACTGCATGAATAATGCTAGTAAGCATTATGAGAGAGGCCTGTAGCTCATGGCTTACTTTGAGACTGTTCAGGTACTTGATACTGCATTTGAAGCCTTGTTAGTACTTTCTTTTGAAGCTGCTGTGAGTACTTGAGTAGTACTAGGCCACAAGAATTCACCTGTTGACAGTTGCCTCTTTTTTGTTTTCGTATTGTTCACCTCATTGTTTGCTTTGCTCACTTTCTCCCTTAGAAGGCAAGGCGGACCCTTTCCATGGGGGACGATCACCTCCTGTGCGTGCCCGGGGAAGCCAACTCCATCGATGCGGTGAGGGAGGAGGAGGACGAACACCCCAGTGAATTGCCCTCCGAGCAGAATTCCGTCAACAACAGGCAGATGGGGGGACGCAAGCCCAGAAACATGTGAGTACACAGCCGGCTTGTGGGGGTTGGGGATGGAGGGGTACTCAGGCCAGAGCCCCACATAGAGAGAATGGCCACTTTACACAGATAAGGCAGCATAAAAAAATAATAAGTTTAGCATCAGCGCGCGCCTCAAAAATCTTGCTGCGTGATTTTTTTTTTCTTTAAAAGTTGTCTTTTCTGATGTCCTTAGCCGTCTGCCGTAGTTTCTACAATGCCACACAACCTCGTGCACGCACAACATGCAACCTGAGTACATACACACAATGTCATGTGAATTCTGTGCACGAGTCTGAAGTGAACATGGCGCTTTCGTTCCGTGGTTGCGGCAGTCCAGATCAGCATGCATACCAAAGTATTTATAACAAAAATCCTCCTCCCTCCATGTTTCTGGCAAATACAATTGATGCTAAACTGTTTTTTCTTAAGTGGCCTAAGTGGTAATGGCACCCAGAACACAAGAGGTCATTTTCATGTCTGAATGCACACAATGTATAGACCTTATTCATGTGGAAGCTAGTTTTGATCCGTTTGATATATTGTCAACTGTCAATTAGGATGGCACCAGACTGTTTTATGATTGGCACATGTTCCAAACGTCCCTTTCAATATTTTCCAAATCTTGCTTAAAACACTAAGGTACATTTTTTTTCTTTTTAATTACAAATTTGAAATTATTCATCAGAGTACTAATTTGTCATGAAATTTTATTTTGTTCCTTTCATTTCTACTCTCAAATTAAAAAAAATGAAGAGTTAACCTCGCCTTCATTTTCAACATTGCCGACCCAAAATAAAGTCTAAAATCAGTCACCCAACTGCATTTGATCAGTCCTTTGCCTTGATACTCCTCAGGGCTACAATTTACAGTCTGTTCCAATGGAAGATTTTGAGACGCTTAGTGGCAGCAAGCACACTGGTCCTTTCTGAGCATACGTGCATAGTTCTGAGCACGTGCAATACCGCAAAAGGGGGACCAGTATAGTCTCCCGTTGGTTGGTGCAACCCAGCCCATTATTTTGCAAACACAGTGGCGCCGTACTTTGCATCATTTAAGACTTCTTGTGGCAACTTGGTCCACATTGCCGCTCTGACTCTGGCTACACGAAGGAGGAGAGGGGACTAATTCTGCTGACTTTGCAATTCAACAGATATATTCCAAGCTTCCCCCCCCCATTTTGGGGGGATTTGTTTGTCTGAAAGTAGTGTTGTAGTTTGGGCCACCATAAGCCTCCAAAAGTCCCTGCAATACTTCTCAAGTCATCCGAGTTCAAGTCAAGTCCCAACCTATGGAAAGGAGCAGACACATGCCTTTTTCAATTCACTGTTTATCCTGTTTTACTTGCAAAGGATTTGATCACAAAGAACTTCATTACAACACTGTTAGAAAGGGATGTTGTGTTGTTATTTATTGACCACTTCTAATTTTATCTGCTTCCACGATTGGAAAACATTATCAGTTGTTCAGCACAGAAATTACCTAAACACGGGAAATATTTGCTCAGCAAATACAGGTTACCGGCCAAAATTCCAAGTGAAAAACATTGTCTGTCGATTTTTTGGCTAGAGACATACAGTGTTCTTGTCTCTGGGTCTACAATATTGGAAACAATCTCTTTTAAATTTTTCTTTTTTTTTCTCTTGGGTCTCTTTTTTTTTGTGCCTCTGAGCTCTAGTCATGTGTAGCTCAACCAAATTGGGCCCCAGGGATACCATGCCGTGATTTATCACAAAAGCATGGCTAGCAGAGCCTTTGGCGCAAAAAAATAGCTGACATCGAAACTCGCTTTGATACTTACAGGAGTTCAAATAGTTGGCAACACCAAACATTAAAGAACTTTGACAGCGCTGTTTGTGGCGACATTCCTTTTTCCAGGATATTTCTTGTCGCCTTCTAGTTTTTCTGAAACCCTTCCTTTTGTGCAACACGAAAGAGATGATGTGATTTATGCGGTTGACACCCCAGGAATGAAGCAATCCGATAAAGCCTTCCTCTTCACTTTGAAGCCAATCTGATTACTGCATTCTCACAAGTTCAGAGTTTAATCTGGCCATCTGTTCAGTGTACAGGTACACGCGCATCAATGCTCCCAGGCATTGAAAGATATGTACGGTTTGTGTGAGTTCATTATTGCAGTGAATGACAAGGGACAACAGTGCTTGCATATCCACAGCTTTTAGTCTGCTATGCTTTAGGATCTTGTGAGTTGTCAAGTACATATACAAAGTGTCCTGTTGGTTCTGTGTAACCATCAAAGTTACACAGGTGATTCTTGATTGATCGTCGGTAACATTTCAGTCTGTTCACCTGTCTTTTTCACAGTTTGACCAAACTCGCAAACTGTTTGTTTGTGCATAGAATTAGAAGGAACTGGTCTCCAGGTGCCAATTTCATAGAGCTGCTTAAGCACAGAATTTGCTTCAGCATGAAAAAGCCTTGCTTAATAAACAAAGGTTACCAGCTCAAACTCTATGTGTGTGCCATGCTAACCAAAAGACAGGTAAATACCATTCCAAAACAGTATCCATCACAAGAAGTTTTGGCTGGTAACCTGATTTGTCAAGCCAGGTTTTTCACGCTTAAATAAATTTTTTTACTTAAGCAGCGCTATGAAAATGGCCCACTAGTGGCTTTAAAGGGTGGCTACAGTACATTTTTTTATTACAAACCTCTAAAATGCACCTTTTTGCCTCAGTTAACCTTATTTTCAACTTTTGTTTCATTAATTCAAAGGGTATTTTAATGCCTTTTTGGTTTTTATGCTAATGAGAATTTCCACATTCATAAGCAAAACTGTGATGTCATCTCTGGAAGAAGCCTCAATGTTACATTGGTTTGTACACAAAAAGTTCTGCACTTTTCCTGGACTTGGGTTTCTCTTCTTTGCTGATTCATTGATGTTCATGTGCATCGCAACAAGAAAATGTTTTCAGTTAGTAAATACTGGGTTCACAATTTGAACAGAAACACCTATGCACTGAACCTTGTCTTCCCTAGATGATGTCACAGCAACAGCGCCCTCAGTTGCATGAATAATTTTAATTGTTTAAAAGACATGCACTCTTCAGTGCATTTCACTAAACAGGAGTGTATAAGAGTTTTCATACAACGAAGAAGAGTACAAAGATGCAGAAAAATTGTGCACAAGAAAATTCCTTGCAGCTACACTTTAAGGGTGTTTTCTCATGGTCATGTACATGTACAGTACTGCCTTAACCCCAGTTGCAAAGTTTTTTTCGCACTCTACAGTCTCTGAAATGCCTGGAAATGTACCTTAACCCCAGCAGTTCCCAATTCTCCAATTTCGATAACATTTTTCGTACTCTCCCCTGAGCGGAAGAGTCACTCTAGCTATTCTTCCAATAATCCAACAGCAAAGAAGTGTCCACAGAAAATGAATATGAACTTAGTATGCAGTTGAACAAGATATATGCAGTATTTATGTAGAAGCAGGATATGAAGCTGTGCTTTGACAAGTTGCTTTTGACAACCGGAAATGGCCAATTATGATAGAGACACTTTAGTCATCCGTTGATTAGGATAATGGAGTTGCGCTGGACACGCTTTAATTCTAGAGTGTCCCGTCGCTAGGGGAACCTGTCACTTCCTTCATCAACTCAAATGAGGCACCGTTTCCGATGTGAAGGCTGTCACATCTCCCTCTTGGACAAAAATTCTTGCCTGGCTGTCATGAATGAGGCTACAGCTTGCCAGTAAACTTTGACATTATATGTGGTTTTTTGGGGGGGGTCTGGTTTCCAAGCAAGTGACATCGGCATTGGGAATCATTCCGTTGGACTGTTTGTTCAATTGTGCGTGGCATGCGCCGGTCATCAACTCTGGTAAATAGAGTGATTGACAGAGTGGATGCATGTATTCAAAGAGAGTTGGAGACAAGACATAGACTCTGGTGCGTGTTTACATCCACAAAAGTATATATACAAAACAGACAATATGTTCCTAGTTCAGCAAATTTGCATAAATTACACGTAGGAACAGAAAAGAACATGCCTTAGTGTTGCCTCTGGGCAGTTTGACACAAAACAGATCTTCATTATATCATCATACAGATCATATTGTGTATGATTTGTACGTTAGAATCAGGCTTCGGCGTCAAGCCCCAGATGATGAGTGTTTAAATAAATAAGTGATGTGACTGTGCATACGAAGGGCTTACACTGGGTGTTTACAAATTCATATGGTAACAAAAAATGCAGAATACACCTCAAGACTCATTTTGTGGGACGTGAGAAAGTGAGCATTAACACTCACTTTGTGAGTTCTGAAAAAGTGAGCATTGTGATTCATTTTGTGGGAGCTGAGAAAGTGAGCATTACAACTCATTTTGTGGGATCTGAGAAAATGAGCATTAAGACTCATTTTGTGGAATCTGGGAAAGTGAGCATTAAGACTCATTTTGTGGAATCTGGGAAAGTGAGCATTACAACTCATTTTGTGGAATCTGGGAAAGTGAGCATTACAACTCATTTTGTGGAATCTGGGAAAGTGAGCATTACAACTCATTTTGTGGGAGCTGAGAAAATAAGCACTAAGACTCCTTTTGTGGAATCTGAGTAAAAATTAAGACTTATGTAGAGATCTGGAAATTCCCCATCTAATTTAGCGAATTGTGTGACCTTTGAACCTTGTGCACGTCTTCAAGGCGTGATTAGGCCCACGTGGGTGCAAAGAATGTACATGTACAGTACAAGTATTTTCTGTAAGTCTTGCATGTCGGCCGGAAGTGGCGGCACTGAAGTCGGGCAGGTTTCCAAGGTTTTTTTCGGGAGAGCGGGGTGTGCTGTGCGAGACGACTGGGTGGGTGGACGTTGTGATGGCTCGGCCGGGAATCACGTAGATTAGCACCGGTTTAATTGTCCAAGCATTTGTGATTATAAAAGAAATCCAGTCCGCTTGAACACCCAAGTCTTTCAGTGCTTGCTGAACTTTCTTTTTGCCTGCCTGGCCTCCAATTCCCCCCTTCAGTTGCGGACGGACCGCCGCCCCCAAGCGATCGGCCAGGGGCTGGACCGCTACACTTACATGTATTTTGTGGAATCTTAGAACGTGATCATTAACCACTTGCTGCCGGGGGACCCGTTTTTGAGCACATAGGCTTTACACCCAAAACCGGGACAAAAGAGCTGGGCCTTGTAACAAAAGACATTGCTCGGCACAAAAGACTGAGCTGCTGGGCATTACCAACATTTTTTCACTCTCAATAGTGGAGATGATCCAGCCTTGTTTTGAAACAGTATACCACGGTTTGGGGCATTTAGAGCAAGCAGATTACCACCAGGGACAAAAGCGCCCCACCACCGCAGCGATGAGCCACACAGCACGACTGCACGCTAATCTGGCCCCTATTGAAAAGAGGTCAGCAATGCACTGTGCCAGGTTCGGGAACAAAAGACAGTTACATAACGCGGCACAATGTGGGCTCTTTTTACAAGGCTGCAGGCCTGGCTGAAATACTCGGGCATCAATAGATTTTGTTTGTCAGGCTACAGTGGCCACCAGACAGTAATTCATGTAGGTGTAAATGTCCATTACTTGAAATGATGAATTTTTGAAGGTTTTTAAAAACTGAAAATCTTGAAATTCCCCTGTTTGTGTGCACTGCATTTTTCAAACCACTCCGCAGCATGTGGTTAAGACTCCGTTTGTGGAATCTTGGAAAGTGAATGCTCAGACTGACCTATTGCAAGAGGATTCAGACTCAAGTCTTATATACATGTATATATTCATTTGGACATTTCTCCATGTGTCTAAATGTCCAGTTTCCTTCCCAAAAATCAAATAGTAATTGTTCTCAGACCACCGGGGGGGGGGTGTTTTTTATTACATCACCATTATATTGCTGTAACATAGTATAACACAGGTCCTGTCATCTATCGAAGCCATTGCAAAAAACGGTTGTCCTGAATATTAACTAGGTACCCCCCCAGATTGTCAGCAACTTTCCTGAAAATCTCAGGTGGGAGGAGGGTTACCTTGAGCAAAATGCCTTCCTTTTCTCTCCATGTATTGCCATCTGCATGCTCCTTTAGGATGTGCCAAAATGAAGTTATTTTTCATTACTATCATGCCATCACCTTGAGTGTGCCATTGGCCACCGTGACAGATAGCTGTTGCTCGTGGGCACGTCCAATCAGCAGTGCCAGAGACACAGCGTGCGTGCGCAGATGGGAGCAGGCTTCCTGCAGCCGACACAACACGAGCTTGCACATGTACATTGCGGCTCCGAGCCAGGTATTTGATGAACATAAATACCCCCGTGCGCATGTCTTAATCTGGAGCAGTTAATTATGATGAAGGTAAGCATCGGCGGTCATGTGTGACGTGACTGTCCAGTCAGGTGTCTGATTAATGCCTCCAAGTGCGATCATGCGAGATGAAATCAATTTTGAGGGATTTTTTGGCAGTGCTGTGAACAGGGAAGATTGATTATCGTTTGCTGGGTGTGAATGAATGCCATGAATGCGTGTCGTAACAATGTGTACAATTTCTGGGAAATTTTAAATGGGAGGGGCTTTGTCTGCATTGTGGGCGGTCATGTTTCCAAGAAAATCCAATAATATTTTTGGATAAGAGAGAGTTTTCTGTCCTGTGTGTGACATCGGGATCATTTTCTAGGGAATTACCCGCAAGTCAAATTGAGGGTGTTGCTAGGGGATACATACAAATAAATAAACAAATTCTTTGTAATCAATTTAAGTTTTGTTATTTGGAGATGAATGTGGGACTTGAACCAGAAACTTCGAAGTACCAAAGCACCTTAGTAAAAAATTGGTCTGATGGACCAAGTACAATCCGTAAACACTTTCACTAGGAAATCCAAGATACCACCTGAATGGTCTGAAGCATTCTGAAACAGATTAAGGATTTAAAACAACATGTGGGACATTTTTAACTGTGCCACATTAATTGTGCCCATTTCCATGAGTGAACCTATAAAAAGATACAGGTTGGTACTGACATACATGTTTTTCTGCAGTAAAAAAAAAAAAATCATGAGCGGAAGCTTCTTCAACATAATTGGGACTGGAAATGGTTTATGGATGTTACAGTGCGCCATCGTACTCGTAAGAGGTCTTTTGCCAAAAAAGTTTAGCACTTATCTCGACCAGAATTATTTTTTTTCTTGCACTCTTTCACTCCAGCGAAATGTGTTACGTACATTTGTTTCTGCCACTCACTGGACATGAAATGTGAAAAATGTTTTTTTTCTTGTTTTGCTTCTCCAGTCTTGCCATTGAGCACGTTCCTGGAACATAAGGTTTGTTAGTGCCATGGCTTCTAAGAGCTTTTGGCGGTACTTAGGCATGCTCAAAAGCCATTAGCTGAAAAGCTCACCTTCTTCCTAATAGTCAGTGCTTATTTTCCTGTGATGAGGAGATGAACAAGTCATCATTTCTTGCGTGAACTCAAAAAGTCGATGGGACCTTTCCTGTCACTCTTTGTGTATTGCACGCGAACATAAAACATGCATGTTTCTGATACTTTTTTAAGAACGCGTTTGCCAATTTGGTCCGAGTTTTCTATGTCCAAAGTTTACCCAATGTGACTGAATGGACAAATTGCTTTGAAAAGGGTGACTTTCAGCAATCAAGCACTTGCAGAATTACCTGAACGGATAGCTCTTGCATACATGTACCTCTAAAAATACTTATGAGTCAAAAACTGATGATGATCTTATGAAATCTATGAATCTTGCCAAGCCTTGTGAAAATACTACTAGTTAGAAATGAAAATGTGTGATTTCAAACATTCGTTTCATGCTGGCTAAGGTAGTTTAAAACCTGGCTATTTGGATGGTTGCCATCACAAGTTGTGAACTGTAAATTCTTCAGTCGTGTGATTTGCACTCCAAAATCTGCACTTAATTAGCATTTTGGCCCGGAGGTTGTGAGTGTTTGTTTACGACGGTTGAGATGTAAGAGCCAGGCGTTCATTAAATGCATGCCGCGGTGTGTTTGCCATTCAAATAAAATTCAAGCAATAACTTCACTGCGAGGCAAACACCAGTGCCTCTGACATTTGTAACGACCGAAAGCACACATCCGCTGTACTCGTAGGGAGAAGGGGGGGAGGTGTGATGTCGTACCGCGATGTACATTAGATACCAGCCCCAGAGAAAGAAGAGGAAAACATTTAAAAAAAAAAACTAGAGAGGAAGGTCGAGGAAACAGGCCGACTCCACCTTGATGCACGTGATGGTAAAGGTTAGTGGGCCAGGCATCATCGGGGGGTTGATGAGATCGGACGAGGCTGGTAACGGTCTGGTGGATGTACATGTAGCTGTTCTGGAACACTGTCCTCGATCTGTGGTCTGCCCGCTGAGCGTCTATTTGGGCTCTCATCAGATCAGTCCTCTTGTCTTTCTTTTCCTATCTCCCTCCCCCTTCTGTTCAAACTCATCTCTCTTAATGACACCTAGTGTGTGTGTGTGTTTGTGTACATGTATGCATGTCGGTGGGTACAGCCAACAAACCGTGGCCGGACTCGGAGCGGGGATGGTAACCCGAGATGTTGGCTCGGCGCGTAGCGTGACAGCAGTGGACGTGCTGTAGTACCCATGCAAATGCAAGGAGGGAAGGGGGATGACTCTGACCTATATGTCAAGAACTGGATAGTCGCGATCACGTCCCTGCCCCTTGAAACGGGCGGCAGGATTGACTACGGTTGAGACCGTAGTTGCAGTTCCACTCGGCGAAATAAAGCAGAAGGAATAATACATGAACAGGTGATATACACAATCATGATTGGAAAATGCAATTTTTTTCATGTTGCTCCCCGAAGTGCTGATGACACTGACAAGCTTAGAGAATTCACATGGAAGAAAATTGTATTTTGTAATGTAAGAATATGACATTCATATCTGCAAGGCTGTTAAATTGATGATGATGATGATAACGGGTAAGTCATAGTAAGAATACAGTAATGAAGATGAATGGTTTATCTGAAGGGGGAGAGTGGGAGTCGAAGATGAGATAATCTGAGTTATTCTCATTTCCAAGCACGTAAAACAGGGCGAGGCCCAGCTCCGGCTTGCCCTAATGGATTCTCACGCCTCTGTGGCTACGAGGGCCGTTGCCCACTCCCCGCTATCGATGACGTCTGACGTGGCACTGTGGCTGGCCAGCTGGCTGGCTGCATGCTCTCTCAGTCTAACCACCGAGGCCCCCGATATAAGATGGTATGAAGGCTCGGGTTACAGGCAGTTTGGAGAAGCAAGTGCGTCAGGAGGTGACGGTGGAGTTTGCGGGGCGCAGCTCCGTCATGCACTGAGACGATTTTTTTTTTCCTTGGGGCAAAGCTGTTGGCTTAAGACAACCGGGCCTTCACATCTGCTTCACAACCCAAGCTCCAACCCATCAATCAAGATATAGACTGAGCCGTTTGCAGTGCACAAATCATCACTCACTCCTAGATAGGAAAAAAGCCACAGAAAGTCCTTCCTCTTATTTTTTGGTTTGTCCACCTTGTTGCATCAACAGTGCCAGAGATTTGAAAGACAAGATGCGTTTCTTGAGAAGGCGACACACCGACAGCTCGCTACGGGACACGGCCGATAAACTGGACTGTGACAAATCCACCTTGGTGCAAAACTCTGGCGAGTCGGACGTCAGGAAATGGTCCGATTGCTTTGAGAATCTACTCCATGACAAAAGTGAGTACAAGTTAGCCTTTCAAGGTTAAGAGTTCCATTTTTTCCCTTTTGTTGGGCCACACTATATATTTTTTTTGGATTATAAATCTGCCTACTTTTTTTGGCTAAATGAATAAAAAAAATTAGAATTCAGTGTCCACAGATTTGTAATTTGATTGTCTCTGCCAAACTTACAATTTGGTAATGACAGTGTTTGAAAAATATACGGTTATGAATATAACGGTTTATCATACACCTCATGCCCAGAAAAGCTTTATTTTTTGTAAAGGTTTTGCCCCTAATTTCCGTCTTTACTCACCCACAGAGACGAAACCAGGCCTGACCTTGATTTGGAAGTGATATATATTTTTACGTTTGTTCCATCGTCCAGTATTGATTCCTTTTAAAAAATATCTGTAGTCTGAAAAATAAAAGTCATGGCCCGTATGTCAATTTTTTGTACATGAGAAAAACTGCCTTCACAAAGTTCAAAAATCTTTCAAATGAATTACAGACCCAATATTTCTGTACCTACGAAAGCAGGATTTCTTACATCAACTTTCCTGTCACTTTCCATTCTCATTGAGAAGGTTTCCCGGAGAGTTTCTTGCTAATGGACCATAGAACTTTCCATTGCAGTACAGGCCATTAATTTCCAGAAACTAGTGTCCTGTGTAATTGATGCAATTAAACAGTTCTTTCAAATGCCAGTCACTCTCTGACATTTAAATAGACATACTGCTGTGTTGTTAAGTCTTAGTAAGATGGTTAGAGCCAAAGTGATACATTTTCTGTGGTTTTAAATTTCCTTTTGAAATAGGGGAGGAAGGCAGTTTTCAAATGTATTAACATGCACACCAGACATAATTCACGTACACTACTTTTTTTTCTTTTTTTTTTTACAATCGTACAAAATTCACGCTTGGGGAGGTTAGAGAATCACCTACACTTTTCAAAAATATCAACCACGATGATTATAAATCATTTTTTTTCTCTCCTTTTTAGTTGTATGCTCTCAGATAGGGGGTCCAGAAAAATTACTCTTTGCGTATGAAAAGGATGACAAAATGGATGGCCGTTGATTGTCTCATGAAATGAAGCCTTTATCTGTGTCATCCTGTCCTGTGGGATCGTTGTATCTCCAGTGCAGCAAAGGGCAGTAGAGCGCAAAATTAAATTTCTAAGTAAACTGTGACAATGTAATTGTTGTCGTGGAGAAATTTGCCCCAACACCGTCCCCTAAAAAAAGTAACATCTTCCGGGCGCTGGGAATTCAAGCGGAATTGCGGTTGTGATGTGGGGATTGAGTCATTTACTGCGGCTGTACTCAGCAACCTGAAGGAGTTAAAATTCACAGCTTACTCACTCAAGCGAGATTACCCTTCGTGGAAGGAAGCGGGCCGTGATCGAGTGGGAACATNGGTTGCGTCAACCGTGCCGCTCACTGGGGTAGCTTAGCAAAATCAAACTCTATTTTGCTCAAAAAAAATTCAAAAAAGAAAGTATACAGTTACAGCAAATTGGGCATTGCTGACTGCTGCATGGGCAGCAAGATTCCAAAGCTCTGCAGCTCTGGTAGGTCAGATTACCAGGCTGAGTAACGTGCCCATTGTGCCTTTTTCCAGGAATATTTTGTAATTAGCCATTTGAAATTTTACCATTGAGCATCATGGAGTTTCCCCCAATGCCTCAACAAGTTTTTAAAAAAAAAGTTGAAATGCATTCAAGTTGAAATTTTAGATGGGGAGTCTTGAGGTTGGTCGATTTAGCAAATCACGGCATAGGAGAAGTGGCACCATTCTGTGATAGATGTCAGGCTGGAAATGTATTTTTGGAAGCTTTGTGGAGGTTGGCCTGCGGTAGAGGGGGTCAAAATAAAATATCAGAAGTATCAAATCGAACCCTGGTTTTACATTTCATGTCTGGTGTGTTGGCAAGAACTGTGAGAGGGAACATTTAGGTAATTGAAAATGGTGTTGCCAGTCCACAAAGGAATAGTTCCTCACTCTGTTGCAATCTTGAAAAGGAATAGGAACCAAGTTCTAAAAAAAAAAAAGTAGTAACTCGGGACTGTCAGTAAACCAAAATGAAAAAACCCAGAGGTGAGATTTTTCAGGATTTTTCCAATTTCAAGATTTTTTAAACAAACTATTTTAAAATCTAGAAATCCTCAGTCTACGTTTATGGTGTTCTTACACGGAACAATTGATACATGGTAGAACACAAGAAATGGGTATGTGAGGGGCACCCTCAAGCAACCATGCACACCGCTGTGGGGCCATGATCAAACCTTTTTATTATCATGCTGTGGATATGTTATATTCCTCCAAATCTCACCCCTGAAAACCCCCCCAAAATACCTCGGTGGATTGGCTGTCTATTATGGAACCCCATGTGCAAAAGACAGGATACTGATGCAAAATACTGCTTTTTGGTCAAACCTGGAAAATCGGTGAAGTGAGGGAAATCTAATCCAGCAGGAGTGGGGGGTAGGGGTGATAGTGCCCTGCCGGTCATGACATCCAAGAACCCATGTAACACCATGAGAGGCTCATCGTAAACTACATCAACACCAACTTACAGGATTGGGCTCCTCTTGTCTGAGAATGTATATGGTGGGGCTTTACCATGCAAGAAATGTCAAGATTTGAATAAGGGAGGCGGGCAAATGTTACAAACAACAGTAGTAGCCACTGGCTTTGTGTCTGTAGCACTCTGTAAGCAAAGATATTGGCACCTGGGAAGAACTGCCAACATAGGGCTGAGTGACTTAGTTGGTAGAGCACTGGTACGGTGTTCCAGATGTCGTAGGTTCAAATCCCACTCAAATCAATTTCTTCGTTCAGCTGTATAACTGAATTGTACAAACACAAAAGAATTATGGCTTTTGACCGTGGAAGTAGTGTAGAATGGAATGATTTAAAATGATTCCAATTGATTGTTCTATTTGTTCACCACCTTGGCTCAAATCCTAGCATTTTTTTAGAAAATTCAACGCAGTCTAGTTGTTTTGCCTTGTTGCAACATAATGAAATTTCCTTCGTTTGTTTGTGGAAAATAGTGACCACTTACTTATATGCAAGCCTAACAAAATGTTCCCAAAAGGTTATTTGAATATATTTAAGCTGGATTTACCCTGTAATGCCATTGTACATCCATGGTGTTTGCTTTCTTAAAATATTTTGTTCCGTTGATTTTGTGGGGTTAAAAAGCAAATAGTGTGAACAAAGTTCCAGAGTTTTTGAACAACTCACAAATGCAGATATAGCAAGTGTCTGATGTCTTCTTGAAAAAGAAAATCACACGATGAATCTGACCGGAGATGGAGATTTTGCTTTTTTTCATTCTCACCTGTCTCTCACAGTTCCTGAAGAGAGAAAAAACGGGGGGGGGGAGGAAAAACCGTTGTTGCCAATTTCTTGGCCATTTCCTTATTTATTCGATTCCCGAGCTGTCCCAATACCTGCGCGATCAATGGGACGGTCCTCAAGAGAGGGGGAGCATAAGAGACCTAAACTGAATCTGCAAGAGGAACTATTGACTGCGGCTGTCTCCTTTGGCTTGGCCCTGTTGAGGAGAAGGGGGATGAGTGGAAAAATAGACGGATACAAAGACATGCAACTCGGCACCTCCTGCAACTCGGCACCTCCTGCAACTCGGCACCTCCTGCAACTCGGCACCTCCTGCAACTCGGCACCTCCTGCAACTCGGCACCTCCTGCAACTCGGCACCTCCTGCAACTCGGCACCATCTCCTTGCTACGCATTGTCCACTGTTACAAGAGCATGCTGAATTGAGTTAGCCTGAAGTCAATAAGGTCCTCGTTCTATGTAGGAGAGCCTGGCACATTTCTGTGAGAGGATGGATATGCCGATGTGGCAAAGACAGATTTTCTTTCACATACTGAGGGCAGTGCCGTTCAGGCATGTATATCATGTACCTAATCATAATAAACTCGATTATTTCCTGGATCTGGTATAAGATCGTGGATCTGGTAATTATTAGTAGGTTTCAAGATTTTCTTTATGGCTGATAAACTTTAGGGAAGTACTTAACCTGTTCTTATGTACAAGTTTAGTGCGTGCTAATCACACCAAAGGAACCTGTTGAGAAAATGAGCATGTTTAGATTCAGGTTGTGTTGGGATCATTTACATTTTGTGTTGGAATGATCCAAGTTTATTGGGGTTTTGTTATTGGGGTTTTATTGAAAGAATGTGATTTTGTTGTCACATCGATGAAATCAGGAAGAAGACAACCCTTGTGTCATTTCATATAGACAATGCTACAGCTCCGGCACAAGTTTTTTTCCCCTTAAAATCAGGCTACGATTCAGGTAGCATTTTGAATCGTTAAACTCTGATATTTCAACTTCTTGAGTTCAGTCCTCAAAAATTGCTGGGGGCTGGTAGTTCTTCAGTGCAGCTGTTTCCCATGGACTTTGTAGAGGCTTGGCATAGTAGCCATCTTGCAGGACTATTGTTTTGTTCCACAGGGAAACCTCTGTGCATACCCTGTGGGACAAAAGCACTGGCCTGCAAGATGGCAGCCACGCAAACCCTCTATTGTTGGTCATTAGCCTCAGTGTTCTACTGCATCACTAGACAACAAAACTGAAAAAAACCTAAAAAGCAATGCTTTACCTCAGGCATGGCTGAGATTCTTGTTTTTAAAACCTTCCCACTTGCATGTTTTTTAATCCCAATCCTTTCACCCAACGTATATTTAAAAAAAATCATAAGGGAATGTGCGTCAGAATATCAGCGGGTTGACGTTTTTCCCGTTTCACTGCCAGAGACAGAATCCTGGAACCTCAGGACAAATTCCTCGTCTTGACTCATGCGTGTGGGCAACTCTACAACCCCCCCCTCGCCCTTGTTTGAACTGGATTAGCTACTAAGAACAGTGCGTCACTAAGAACACAGAACGTAACGTAACCTGCTTTTGTGGAAGAAGAAAAAATCTAGCCCGTTGTGGTATTGTGATGTTGTTCCGCTGTGCTGTCAATCAGCATAAGGATGA